ACGCATCTACCAAGATACCTTTGAATACATTGACGACATCAAAGACCTTAACGTCAACGGCATGGTGATGTTCTCGCTTGACGTCTCATCACTTTTTACAAACGTTCCGGTCACCGAGACAGTTGATTACATCTGTGATTTTCTATCTGTCAGTCAGCAGGAAATAGGATTTGGAAGACGCACTACTGAATCCTCCATCTCACGGCATCCTAGGCCCCTCAAAATTGTTCTCAGTTGCAAAGAGCGTTTCCATCTCATCCTTTCAAGGCGTTTTCAATTAAAATATTCCAATCAAGTAGTTTTTCAGCCGGGCAACGGGCTGGCAACGGGCTCGTGGCCCGGTGAGTAGAGGCGTTGACTTCTAAACCAACAGGTCGCGAGTTCGAGGCTCGGGTGTTCCACACTTCGGGCTTGGGTATGGCTGGCTGACGACGGCTAATAAGCCAGAAATGGCCATTCCAGTCTCCCTTGTCTTTGTCGGTAATACTAGTCTGCCAATAGGATTTCCGACGAAGACACTCAAGGAACTATTACCAACATGCACATTAAATGTGCAGTTCCTGTTCGACAACCAACTCTATAGACAAGTAGACGGCGTTGCTATGGGCTCATCCCTTGGACTTCTTCTAGCTGATGTCTTCATAGGCAAATTGGAGAGATTCCAACTAAGCGATCAGATCGATAAGCTTAAACATTACGGTCGCTATGTTGATGATATCTTTGCCATTGCCACGGCAGAAACCGACGTAGCAACCCTCTTCGATGCGGCAAATCAGGCACATCCGTCGATCAAATTCACGCTGCGGATCGAAACGGCCGGTTCGCTCTCTTTCTTAGATGTTCTCCTAAGCAGAAGACCTGACGAGAGTGACCGAAGAAGCGTCTATCAGAAGAAAACCTGGTCTGGACAATACACGAACTTTGCCAGTTTCGTACCCCTCCAACAAAAACGAAATTTAGTCCGATGTCTGGCACAAAGAGCTAGGAAAATTTGCTCAACAGACAGCATCGAGGAGGAGCTCAGAAAAATCCAGGACTTTCTTCGTGAAAACGGCTATCCTGAAAGGTTTATTGCAAAGAACATTGCTGAACGACCGATCCAACCCGCCACACCGACCGCCGAAAAGAAGACTCTGTTCCTCAAGGTCCCTTTCCAAGGGGACGCTGCGAGTGAACTCCTAAGGAGGCGTCTTGATCAAGCTGTCTCGAGAACTTTCCCAGCAGCAAGGGTTCAAATATCATTCTCGACTAACCCGACTTTACGCGGAGAAAGTAACGATAAGTTGCCACCGCAGACCACCTCAATGTGCATCTATTCCTTCACTTGCTCCTGTGGAGCAGGTTATATTGGTCGCACGAGTCGGCGCTTATCCAATAGAATACGGGAACACCTTCCCGCATGGCTGGCAAAAGGTGAAACTAGGAGAATAGACAGCGCCATTCTCGCGCATGTTGTCGATTCCGGACATCGTGTGGACCCCAACGAAGCTTTCCGTGTAATTTATAAGGTCCCATCGAGCTACCCTAAGCTACTAGGCCAGCGCCTGTTAGCGACAGCGGAAGTGGTCGCCATTAGGCTACGAAAGCCAATCTTATGCGCACAGAAGAACCATGTTCAGACTCTGCGCCTACAGTGGTCGAAGGTCGACTAACGCTGCACCTCTCTGCACCCTTTCGGCTCTCACTCCGGCCCTGACACTGACTACTATTACCCCCCCCCCCTCTCCCATATTCCCACACCCCGCCTGTGTTTTAAGGAGAACTTTTATCAATTTCTCTTATCGCTGACATGTTTTACTTCTAACCCGTTCTTCTTCGGCCACAGGGTGATTAAGACATGGTAAGCTCTGTCTTTGGGTGTCGTCATATCCTTATCCGTGGGCTCATTTACGAGGAAGCTCCACCAGTGCAAGGATATCTACCACCACGTCATCAGAAACCAACAAATGTTTCCCTTGCGCTACCCGAACGTTTTACGATGCAATACATGCTACGTCCTAAATTTAAGTAGCATCATTTTAAAACCTCTCGTTAAATGCCTCCACCAACCGTCCACATGCGAACCAGTGAATCCTGACCGAAGCATAATCGTTTGTTGTCAGTTTTCGCACCATACCGGTACTCACCACATAGCAAATGCTGTAGGGTTCGAGGTCTTGCTTGGTCTCCTTCTCATGAGCAATACGAGGTGGTTTGTCATGTCTTCCCTGCGTTTTGTTTCCTACCGCATTTACCTAATTGGTGTATCTAGCCCGTTCGCAACAGCAGATTCTTTGCTGTGTGGTCCATTACATCTTTCGGTCCCCTATTTCTCCATGCCACGCTTTTTTTTCTCCATGCATTATGCCTGACTTACTTCTTTTATGCCGAACTAGCATGGTTTTCTTGGGTCATGTCGGTTTGCATTAGTTGTATTACTTCTGGCTTAAGTGTCGGTTTTTCTTGGCTTAGCAGTTTCGACTACCACCTGGAGGCTTCACGGTTTCCTGTCGTATTGTTGCTCCTATATTCGTTATCTTATTACTATGCAGCTCTTAGGTTCGTGTTTGGCGGCTTCCTTATAGTCCCCACAGTCGTTCTCAATGCACATCCTGTCTCTGGCTGGCCGTACTTTTCATTCGCCAAGACACCTAGGCTACGATCCTTCTCGCCTTATAGGGAAATTTTCGGTAAAACAAATCACTTATCAGCGATAAGATGGTTCGATTGAAAAGACTTTATGAGTAGTCGGGAGCAGTCCTCGGCCCGCACTATGCGACCTGCAAGTTACTACCTGCGAAGTAGGGGGTACATAATCCACGTTTGACTCGAGACACTTGGTGCGGTTTGGGGACCTTACGGTTCGTCTAAACAGCGGTACACAGTGTCGACATTGCTGGCAGGTCAAGGTCCCAAAAATGTCCTCACCTCTCCCTTACTGATTTACGGCTCGGACGCATTCATTTAACAAAGCAGTCCAGTTTGAATAACTTAATGTACAGGAAGTTACTTACAGGTGGGGAAATCCCGTTGTGTGCACAGTTCATTCACTGAATTATTGATGCAGAGGGAACATTTGAGCGATATGTGAGAGAAAGATTTCCCATGCTTCATTCAGGCTAGCTGTGTTCAGCCCAAACCATTCGCCATTGTGGGTAGATCAAGCTGCGATTGCTTGCTTCTGACTTTGGAAGGAAAAAAAGATAACGGCATTTATTATCCAGTTTGTCGCTACTGGCTATAGCATAGTTTCATCAGTTGGCATGTATCTATTGACTTATATGCATGTAAATACACATATCAAGGTAATAATGTCAGGTGTTATTGAGTGCAGGACATGGAGTTAACTTCCCGGGACATGACTTTTTAGGGTCAGAACCGAAAGTTTAATAGACATTTAAGTCGAAGACAATCAATCACTGTGTAATAATCATGTAGTGCCCACCCTATAAACAAGTAGCAGTATCAGTAGTATAATTTTAGTTAATACCTACGTCGGGAGTACGGTATGGCCATCTGTCAACATCTCGCGATTGAAACCATGCAAATCTTGCTAGAAGAACATTATAACGAGACGGACAAAAAACTCAAGATGAAAGACTTTATAGGTCTACTGAAGCGCTGCTAGAAGACCTTCTTTACCTTTCATGGAGCTGTTTACGAACAAGTCAAAGGTACACCAATGGGGTCGCCCTTATCAAGCTTGATCGTTGAGACAGTGTTACAGCGCTGGCTTTTGACAGCTATCGACCACGACTGGGTGTACGGTATGTTGGTGACACATTTGTTATCACCAATCCGGACAGTATTAGGGAATATCTAAACCTGATCTTCCCAGATATCCAGGTCACGATGGAGGAAGAAGATTGCCAGTTGCCGTTTCTCGACATAGTAGTTCAGAGAAAAGGCGATAGGAAGCTAAAATAACGGTTTTCAGGAAGACGATGAATACCTCTCGTTTTCTTAACAATAACCCCCTTCAACGCAAATCCAGCTGCGTGACAACATTCAACTGACGTGTAGAAACCCATTACACTGAGCCATCACACAAGAAGTCATAGGTCCAGTTCCTGCTGGGGAAACTCTTAACTGCGAACGGCTACCCGGGAAATTTTGTCGAATAGTGCAGGCGAGAAACCCCGGGGAGAAAGCAGAATGAGCAACCAAAACCGAAATGCAGGCGCACAGTGCCGTACATAGCCGGTGTATCAGAAGAATTCACTAGACTAATGAGCGAATTTGGGATTGGCGACGCTCACAGAGCTGAAGCAACAATACGCCGGCAACTCATGCACCCCAAGGACCCCATTCCCACCCGTCAGAAATCGGGGGACATTTATCGGATAGACTGCAATTGTGGTCAAACTAATTATGTTGTTGAGACGCGCAAGCATGTTCGAAAGAGACTGCACAGGCACGGGTTAGCTATGAGACGGAAGGATAAACTCTCCTCGGTAGCCGTCCACGCCTCCTCGTCAGAGCACCACGTTGACTTTGGGCGCGCCTGCTGCAGGAAGCCTGGCACTCAACTGAGGACTCCATCAATCGACATACCGATCTGTCAATCACTTATCAAGCACTGGGATGCAGCTTGAGAATACTTTGGTCTTTCCAGCGTTTATGGACAAACCGACCGATTTAGCGACCTCGTTCACCCGTGACACCATAGAGTGCAAATCACCAAAACTTGAAACAAGTAAGGCGATATCATCGGCATAGTCGAGATCAGTCAGTCGATGTCCGGGTGCAAATTCAACGCCGTCACTGTCACGTAGGCCGTTACCGAGGATCCAGTCAATAGCGTAGTTGAACAGTATGGGTGACAGTATACAACCCTGTCGGACGCCAGACCGAATACCGAACGGTTGGGAAAAATTGTTACGGACCAGGACTCTCGCAGTAGTGGAGCGATAGTAGGCCTTGATCATGGCGATGATTTTTGCCGGTACACCATCTAGCGCCATTATCCGCCACAGGGACTCACGGTGAACGGAATCGAACGCGGCGGCAAAGTCAACGAATCAGAGGGCCGTCGGTTGTTGGTAGCTATGGCGAAATTCCAGAATGCGCCTCAGTGAGAATATCTGATCTGCGCATCCACGTCCAGCACGAAATCCGGCTTGGTTGGGCGTCGTCCTATAGTCACGCACAGCCTGGAATCGCCTAAGTAGGACAACAGCGAAGATCTTCGCAGCAACGTCGATGAGACTTATGCCGCGGTAGTTCTCGCATCTCGTCTTATCTCCCTTCTTGAGGATAAGTACAAGGATGCCTACGCCCCAGTCATCAGGAACTACCTCGTCTCTCCACGCTCGTTCAATCACCTCATGGTGCCAGGGCGCCAGAGTGTCGACACAAGACTTGAAGATTTTAGCGGGTATACCGTCCTCTCCGGGTGCTTTATTGTTGCGCAACTTTCGTATGGCATCGGTCACTTCTTCCTCGGAGGGGGGATCGCATGGCACTGCATAGGTAGGAGAGGGAAGAAACTCCGCTGAGGAGGAGAGCAAGGGCGATGTAGGTTGGGTATCGAAGTTGAGATGGTGCTTAAAGTGCTCACGCCAGCGCTGGACTTTGGCCGAGTTGTCAGCAATAAAGCCGCCGTTCACATCGCGAACAGAGTCACTCAGTGTAGAGGGCTTACCGCTAACTTGGCGGATCAGACGGTAGAGCTTTCGAGTGTCACCAACGTTCGAGGCCTGTTCCATGGATGTCGCTATTTCAGCCCAATATTGCTTCCGGTCATCCCTGGCCGATTTTGCCGTCATCTTCCGAAGTTGGAGGAAGTAGTCATCGTTGTGGGACCTGGCTCTGGCCGTCTGAGCAGACAACTGCAGGGTTCTTCCGCTGATCCAGTCACTGCGGCGTCGCTGGGTGTATCTAAGGATTTTCTCAGCTGCCCCATAGACTGATGTCTTCAGTGACGCCCACTGGTTACTGACTTCTCCGTCGGCTCGGGTCGTAAAACAGATCCGGATTTCGCTGCTTAGGGCCTCAGCAGTGCTGGCTTGCCGGATTTTTGCGACATTGAGGCGTCTAGGACGTGGCATTTTTGGCGCGGATGAGAGATGAACTTTCAGGCGTGTACGGACGAGGACATGGTCCGACCCATGGGCGGCACCACGCATCGATCTGCTGTCGTGAACCCAGCTGCGGAACCTTGAGCTGACTAGTATGTAGTCAATCTGACTGGCCGTACGACCGTCGTTTGAATACCAGCTCAGCAGATGTTTTTTGCGATGCTGGAAGCATGTGTTGGTGACAAGCAGTCGGTTTCGATCAGCTAAGTTCAGCAATCTCTCACCATTTTCACATTGGGAACCAAGCCCAAAGCGGTCAAGATGATGACTGGTTGTGGGGTCGCCAGGTCCAGTTCGACCATTCCAATCGCCAGCAACAATCCGCAGATCGCGGCGAGGCAGTCTTTCAACTAGCGCATGCGACTGCGAGTAAAATGCCTCTTTATCGCGCTGTTCAGCAGCCGAAGTTGGTGCGTACACAGCGACGATGGAGATGTTCGTGAAGTGACCGTTCAGTCGCACGTAGTCCATCCGGCCATTGACTGGTTCCCAAGCAAGTAGCGCGAGGTCCGCTTGTTGTGATAGGGCGATCGCTACACCATGTCGACCAGAGGAATCGCGGGGGCCGCCGTGGTACAAGGTGAAGTGTGATTCGACTCCCGGGATCTTTATTTCACGGGAGCCTGAGTCAGGGAGTCGTACCTCAGACAGACAGCAGACATCCACGTTGTACTGATGAAGGCTGCGTGCGGTCAGACTTTGGGTACCAGGGTAGAGGAAC